CTCCACTACCATCACCACTACCACCATTACTATCAGCATCACCGTCACTACCACCACTACCATCATCACCACCATAATCACTATCATCCCATCATCGTCATCACCATGACATCACAACCATTACCATTACACCACTCTCATTGTCATCATCATCATCTTCATTCACTACCATAACCACCACCACCATCACCACCATGCTGTCTCCCCACCTTCATTTTCCTCCATAACACTTACCACCACCTGACAGCAGAAAAAGTCCAGGTGCTCCATGAATGCTCACTTCTTGGAAAAACTCCCACTTGCAGTTCCCCTTGCCTTCCCAGGCAGGGAGGGTCTGTTTACAAAGGGAAAAATGTCCATGTGACCTGATAGTCTTCATAGCAGCTGCTGATGATGGCATGTTCCCTGAGTGCCAGTCCCTACACAAAGTGCCTACCCCCACTGTCCCACTAAGTCCTCGCCACAGTCCTGAGCTGTCACGAGGAGTGTCATCTCAGTTCGTCAGTAAGGACACTGTCTCTGAAATACGCTGAATCCTCAGGCACTCAAACCCACAGCAGTGGAATGGCTTTCCTGCCTCTCAAGTCCAACATGTCATCTACCAGCCCCAGAGCCAGGGAGGGTGGGCTTTGACCACAGGAAAAAGTTCTGCCTCCATCAGGCTAAGTCCAGGCCTCCTGGCCGGGACAGGCTGGGGTCTGAGCTTCCTGGGGCAGTGAAGCTCAGCTGGGGTGTTGGGGGCCGGGCACAGATGGGGGCCTCCCCTTCGACACAATTGAGGGAGCGCAGGTGCAATGTTCCAGACCCCGAGCCTTGATTCCCAATAGCTTTGGCCAGCACCTCTCCAAGCTCACAGACTCCAAAACCTGTTCAGGCCTCCTGGGAATTTCTTTAAAGCTGAGAGGAGAGCTCCAGGCCATCCGGAGCAGCAAGGGAGCTATGTTCCAGGGTCATCTGAGGCCATGAAGGAGAGAAGGAAGCCAGCTGGGAAACCCAAGCTTTTCCTACCATCCTTGAGGTGTCTGAAAACCAGGCATGGTGATTTGAGTTTTGCAACATCGACGACCTGAGTACGTGTCTATGTGGATGTGCATGTGTGTATGTTAGCATAATATGTAAACCTCATTGAAGATATGCAGCCATTAATTATTTGACATGGTAGTGGAAAATGTCTCCATGTTTTCTGACCCTGCATTACAGGAAGACTTCGGATTACTAAGCAGGAGGCAGGTGCAGCAGGGTGCCGAGTTTGGAGTGTGTGTCCCTTCTCTCCTGGCATCCCCACCTCCACCCTAGGAGCGGGTACAACAACACCTCACTTTACAGGCAAAGAAAGAAACTGAGGCCAGAAAAGTTTAAATGACACTTGAGATTGCAGAGTTGGTGACGGGGAGCACAGAGCCTGGAACTCAAGCTGCTCCCCTCTAGCATCCATAGCGCCAGGGCCACCCCAGGCCACCCCTGGGTGGGGGAGCCCAGCTCCCAGGTTGGCCTAGGAAAGGCAGGCTCCAGTGACCCTCAGTTTGAAGAACGTACCTCAGAAAAGGCTTAGGCGGAAATTCATTCCCTCGGGTCCCTCCACGACTGCAAGGAGAAAGTCTCCATGGAGTGTGAGTGTATTTTTAATCCTTTCTGACACTGAATGGCAACAAACCATAAAAGAGAACTTCATGTTCAGTACCTTCACAGGTAACCATCTCCAGGCAGTCACACAAGTAACCTGCCTCGTGTTCAGAACCTTAGCAGGTAACCATCTCCAGCCAGCCGCACGAGTAACCCACCTCGTGTTCAGTACCTTTGCAGGGAACCGTCTCCAGCCAGCCACATGAGTAACCTGCCTCGTGTTCAGTACCTTTGCAGGGAACTGCCTCCAGGCAGTCGCACAAGTAACCCGCCTCCTGTTCAGTACCTTCACAGGGAACCATCTCCAGCCAGCCGCACGAGTAACCCGCCTCGTGTTCAGTACCTTCGCAGGGAACCGTCTCCAACCAGCCACATGAGTAACCCGCCTCGTGTTCGGTACCTTTGCAGGCAACCACCTCCAGCCAGCCACACAAATAACCCGCCTTGTCTTCACTTCACTTATTTTTAGGGGTGCTGTTTATTTGTGGCATGAGATACTGGTTTCCCAAATACTGTAATCATATAAAATTTCCATGTTAAACACATTTACTGGACTTAAGAAAGCAAAGTGACTTAAAGAAATTCATGAAACAAGTGATAGTGGTACAAAAATGATTGGGGTTGATGCAACTCTATTCGAGCCTAAATTCAGCAATCATAAAGTATCCGCTGCTGAGGAGGAGAATTGCCAGCCTTCAAGGACTTATGTCCTGGTTCAAGGGTTCTCACCTGGGCGCTACTAACACTGGGGCCAGCTCATTCTCTTTAAAGGGTGGGGGGAGGGGCTGTTCTGGGCATCTTGGGATGTTGAACAGCATCCCTGGCCTCTACCCACTAGATGCCAGGAGCACCCTACACTATCCTGACAGCCAGATGCATCTCCAATCATTGCCCAATGGCCCTGGTTGAGAACTGCTGACCTAGTTGTGGGGCACCCTGAGGAGGTCTCAGACACCCTCTCTGGCTGTTGACCTGCAGAGGAATGTGGCAGAAAAGATGCTAAGGAAGGAGGGTGAGCAGCAGTCCATCCCCCCACCTCCCCCGCCTCAGAGCTGGCCCGGGTTCCTCCAGGGCCTGCAAAGTCCTTGCAGTAAGCAGCAGAAACGCAGGCGCTGTTATCTCTTTCGGATCCTGCTATCTTCATGGGATTTCTGTAGCTGAGCTCCCAGAGAGACTGCAGCTGCACAGTCAAAAATATCCATACCGCTGCTGGTCCTGAAGCTGTTTGCATGAGCCGAGCTGCACCACAGAAGTGGGGTGGGGGGTGGGGGAGAGCTGAGGTTGGGGAGAAATTAGAAAATAAAAACAATAAAACAAAAACCTTCACAAAGCAGATCCAAATGGGAAGAGAATTAGAAATATAATATGAAATATGGGAAGGATGAAGACGACAGGGTAGTTGTTTCATCACTGGGGAATCTTTTAAAAAGATGCCAAAAAATTTCAGGAAAACAAAGGAGTTGGGAAAGGATAAGAGAGTGTTGACTTAGGACACTTTTCTTCTCCAGCATGAGCCAGAAATCCAGGGCTTCTCAGCTTTGGCTGCATGCCAGAGTCACCTATTTTGCGGGGCAGGGGTGCTTTCAAATGGTGCTCACACCCAGGCCTTCCCTAGTCCCACTGAGGGTGTCATCAGCCCACCTTGCTAAAGAGCCCTCATGTAATTCTGACATGCAGCCAGAAATGAGCATTTTCTTCTTTTAAAATTGTACTTTAGGTTCTGGGATACACATGCAGGACGTGTAGGTTTGTTACACAGGTAAACATGTGCCATGGTAGTTTGCTGCACCTATCAATCCGTCATCTAGGTTTTAAACCCCACATGCATTAGGTATTTGTCCTAATGCTCTCCCTCCCCTTGCCTCCCACCCCCTGACAGGCCCCTGTGTGTGATGTTCCCTCCCTGTGTTCTCATTGTTCACCTCCTACTTACGAGTAAGAACATGTGGTATTTGGCTTTCTGTTCCTGTGTTTGTTGAGAATGATGGCTTCCAGCTTCATCCATGACCCTGCAAAGAAACAAGCATTTTCTTTTCTTTTTTATTTTTTTTTAGATGGAATTTTGCTTTTGCTGCACCAGGAGTACAGTGGTCCTATCTCAGCTCACAGCAACCTCCGTTTCTTGGGTTCAAGGGACTCTCCTGCCTCAGCCTCCCGAGTAGCCAGGACTACAGGCACGTGCCACTGTGCCTGGCTAATTTTTGTATTGTTAGGAGAGATGGGTTTTCACCATGTTGGACAGGCTGGTCTCAAACTCCTGACCTCTGATCCTCCCACCTCAGCCTCCCAAAGTGCTGGAATTATAGGCATGAGGCACAGCACTCAGCCCCAGAAATGAGCGTTTTCTAAAGTTTCAAAACCTACCAGGTGAGTCTGTCGTGCTGTTTCTGGTTTATTTCTAAAATGTCTTGCTTGGTGACATGGCATCTTTTTTTTTTTTTCTTTCATATGATTTCCCTTCTTCTGCTTTTTTTCCTTTTTTTGATTTTTAATGTTTCTGACTGATTATTGCCATTTCAGGGGTTATGCCAGGGCTCTCTGAAGTAGCAAAATCCTCCCTATCTCTAAATTATCCCTAAGCTCCCAGCAATGGCCGGCAGCCCTGGCGGGCCCTGCACCCAGCAACCTCTGCCCTTAAGCACACATCCCCCCAACATGGTTAAACCATGTCCACATGACTTCACAGGTTTTCTAAAGGAGAAAAGAAGTAAGCCCTCCCCCCTTCAAATATAACAGTGAGGAAGATGCTGAGCTCAACAAACTACAGACAACGTCTGAGATCAGCATTCTGGAAGGTGGGCTTGGCAGACCCTGTTTGGCCAGGTGTTCACAGATGTTGCACGAAAAAGGGTCAAACGCGGAAAGGCTGGACAGGGTTGACCTGCAGGACCCACCTGAGTCTAAGCTTCAAATGTGCATCCTGAGCCTGCTCCAGGGCCCCAAATCTTGCACTTCCCAAGTCTGTTTGACTCTTGGAGCAAGCACCCCTCAAGGACCAGTTAGCTTTGCAAATGCAGAAATGGAATGCCTGAGCAAGACCCAGGAACATGCACCCCTTCACTGAGACACAGACTCCTTTTTTCCAGGCTGGTTGTGCTCATGCAAATACAGCAAAGCCACTGCGATGCAGGGCCCTGGCCAGAGCCCTGGTCTGTCTGCCCCCTCTGCGGTCTTACTGTCCAGTGTTAACATCCAGCATGCAGGTGTTGGGGATGGGCTACATTTCAGTAATGACTGCTTAAAAATAAATAAATGAGTGAATGGGGCCAGGCATGGTGATCTTGCCTGTAATCCCAGCACTTTGGGAGGCTGAGGCAGGTGGATCACCTGAGGTCAGGAGTTCTAGACTAGCCTGGCAAACATGGCGAAACCTCGTCTCTACTAAAAATACAAAAAATAGCCGGACACAGTGGCACATGCCTATAATCTCAGCTACTCGGGAGGCTGAAGCAGGAGAATCACTAGAATTAGGTAGGCAGAGGGTACAGTGAGCCCAGATGGCACCACTTCACTCCAGCCTGGGCAACAGAGTAAGATTCTGTCTCAATAAATAAATAAATAAGTGATGGATGATAACACTGCCAATGACCTCATTGTCTACACAACAGTCCCATGTAAGATCTTCAAGGAGGTGTTTTGTCAGAATCTCCTCTGTTTTGATGCATGTGAAATTGACATCTGGGGCAGCCAGCGGCGTAGTCAGGGAGACAGAACTCTCTGTCACCACCTTTGAGCTTGAGGGTCTGCTCCCATCTCTGGCAATGGGATTCACAGCAGGGTGCAGGCGGGAACAGAATGAGGCAAGCAAGGCACAGGGATGCAAAATGCTCAGCAATGTCACCTCCAGACTCATGCATGCATGGGTCAGTCTCTAAGAGCAAGGCCCTCTTGCATTGTGAGCCCTGAGCATGGCTCTTGTTTCCTGGCCCCGTGGGTCTCAAGCAACAGGCAAAATATCAGGAAAACAGAGTTTATCTTCCTGGAGTGTAAATTTTGCCCAAAGACTTGGAAGAGGAACTAGTTTTTCTGTTAAAATGATACAGAAAAGATCAGAGAAGAATGCAAAACTGAAGAGTTTTTAAGATAAAACACACCCGGGATACAAGCCCTTGTTTTCACCTTTAGTGGGATCTGGGTAGACATTTTAAAGAAGTTCCAATTAAGCTGTTGATGAAAAGATTCAGACAGAATATGTGCTTATTGAATCTGTAGGAGACATGCACTCTTATCATCTTAAGATTCCTAAACATTAGAGCAGAAAAGAACAATGCACTGAGGTGGCCTTTGTCCTGGTTAAAATTTCATGCTGCGGTTAAAAGCAAAGCTAGCTGCACAGGCATTGATCTAAGGAATATGACTGGGCAGCCGCCAAGTGCTGAGCTCTGTGTTGGGGTAGACGTGCAGCTGTGAGATCAAGTGGCAAATCACAGGCGAGTGCCTGGAGGAAGAGAGCTGTGGCAGTCCTGTTTGGATAGTTTCCATTTCATTCCTCCATCAAGACCCAGTGGTGAATAAAAGTCTGTAAGAAGGTTTTTGAATTGCAGATGAAGCACAATAAGCTCCATGCATAAGACCAGGCAAGATATCCCTCCAGGACAAGTCAACAGTGCTCAGATTCTCAAATTCTAAATTACGTTGAGTCTAACTATCTGAACATGGCAACACCATGAGGTTTCATTGATAAAATCTTGAGTTCTAGCAATGCTGCCTCATTCATTCATTCATGCTTCCATGTGTCTGGCACTGAGATTCTCCAGTTCCCAAGTATCTGCTTGATACAGCCCAGTGGTGGAGACAGACGCAAACCAGTGAGCCTCACAAGGAGAAGTGGGTTGAAGGGTCAGGATGACAGTGAGATCCACACCGTGAGTAGATGACAGCCTGCTGAGGCAGGTCTCTGAACACACGCTCGGCAGTAGAACAAGAGGCTGTGGGAGAGAGAATCTGGGAGAAGCTCGGAAAGCAGTCACTTGTCCAGGGTGAGGGTGGAGAGAGGCATTCACCTTGCACCCCAAATTTAAGGACACACAAAAAAACTCAGTAATCAAGATAAATAATATTTCAATGATTTTAATGCAACACTGAGAAAACAATCACAATTGATGTGAAATATTCATGAAAAATAAAATATCAAAATGTTAAAATCAGGACAGGGTCCCACAAGGTCAAGGTCAGGGTAAGGTGAGTGAGGTGGGTTGTACAGGTGCAGGTGGAAGCCTGTCTTGATCTAAAACTTTTATATTGCATATATTTTGCATTAATTTTTATGTTTTAAATATTGCATTATTGATCTCGATTCGGAGTAATTTGCCACCACTTTCCATTTTTGTATTGTGGCCTCTCCCCAGCCTGGTCCCACCCTCCAAGGACAAGGACGAGGGTTTGGAAAAGGAGGCAGGGGCTGGACCACAGCAGAGGCTCAAGTGTCATGCTCCAGACCCTTGGCTTTATCCAGCAGCATTGAGGAGCCACAGAATGATATATCCAATGTCTGTGTGTGTGTGTGACAAGACTGCATGGGAGAATTTGTAGTGAGGGGAGGGAGGACCAGAAAGAAGGGGGTGAAACCAGTTAGGAGGGAGACATGAGTATCCAAGCAAGAAGTGCAAGCCATTTGGAGAAGACGGTGGGAGAACAGTGAATGAATCAGAGACCTTAGGCCGTGAAATAAACAAGATAAAGGTCAGGACACATGGATTCAAGAGGAGCACTTCTAATTTTCTGATGGTGCAATTCACTGTGGCCATCAGAATTAGTTTGGAGTACAGGTAGAGAATGGGTCTGGTTTTTGGCCTGTTGAGCCCCGTTCATTTGCAGCATTCCAGTAAGATACGATAAACGTCAATATATACATAAAGTGTATGCACATATACAAAATATACCTATTTTGTTACACATTATACAACTTTACAAACAAGGTTGGTTGTACCAAAACCAAAGGAAGGAAGGTTGACCAGGCAAGGTGGCTCATGCCTATAATTCCAGCACTTTGGGAGGCCAAGGCAGATGTATCACTTGAGGCAAGGAGTTTGAGACCAGCCTGGGCAACATGGCAAAACCCCGTCTTTACTAAAAATGCAAAAATTTGCCAGGTGTGGTGGCAGGTGCCTTTAATCCCAGCTACTCAGAGGGCTGAGGCAGGAGACTCCCTTGAACCCAGGAGGCGGTGGTTGTGCAGTAAGCCAAGATCATGCCACTGTACTCTAGCCTAGGTGACAGAATGAGACTCTATCTCAATTGACAAAAAAAAAGGAAGGAAGGTGGACCACGGTACCCTCACTGTCAGCATGTTTATCACCATGGTGATGGTTCTGGGATTCCTCATGTCTGGATGCTGCTTTGCTGAGCGCAGGTGTCTTTTACCACATTGCTGCATTTTAATCATCACCCCCTGGTGAGGACCCTGAAGGTCAGTTTTGTTGTGACTTACTTGAAGTTGCTTAGCTGGGCTTGAACCAGGTTCTCCTCACTCCAAATGCCACAGTCCTTTCATCAGCTCTGTTGCCTCCTGGTGGCACACACTTACCATTTCACGAACCCCAAACTTGTCCTCAAGAGGCAACTGCTTTAATTGTTTGATATCTTCTATCCCCCTTGCATGGAATCTAACACAGTTTTAAAAGGGAATACCTCCAACTTGCAGCATTAGGGAGATGTCTTCCGGGTGCTGGCTCGACTGTTTACTGATTGATAAATGCCAAGACTGCTTCTGAGGTTAGGCAAGAGATGGGCGCAGTCCTGGGAAGAAAAACCATGCCTGGTGAGTCTGCTGACTGGCAAGTGAAAGCCGCACTTGTGTCAATGGGGTCATAAAAGCCGCCTGGGCATGGCGGCACATGCCTGTGTTCCCAGCTACTCAAGAGGCCATGGCAGGTGAGTCTCTTGAGCCCAGGAGTTTGGGACTGCAGTGTGTTATGACTACACCTGTGAATGGCCACTGTACTCCAGTCTAGGCTACAAAGCAAGGCCCCATCGCTAAAAAGGGAAAAAAGATATCCAGAGCCAGGAGACAGCCAGTCACCCTCATTTTCAGCCCTGATTCTGCCATTTAGTGTAACCCTTGAAAAGACATACTGGGACTATGACCTGTTCTTATAACATTTTCATTCCTCTATGCGGCCTCAGAGGTTTGTTGACCCACACAATGGACCCATCACACCCTGTGGAACATGAACTACTCCTCTGGGCAAAGTGCACTCCAGAACCGGTGGCTGGGACAATGCAGATCACAGCAGCCTCAAATCATGTGGCCTCAAAACCCAGACCAGCGCTCCTTGAACAGCCTCTCCAATGCTAGTGCAGGCTTAGAGCTCAGACTGCTGCAAAGTGGAAAAGCAATCTCCCTTCCCCTGGGGCCAGCGTGAGGCTGACATAACTGCGATGACTGCTAGACAGCTAGCTCCGTGGCTCAGCCGAGCTGGTATCTCCCTTCACAAGGAACAAGCCTTAAAATCCAGCTGTGGTAGTTGCGTAGAGGCTTTAACATACTGTTAGTGAAAAATCTGTTTAGAAATACATTTTGAGTTAATCAAATGCAATCAACAAAATGAGATGTCATCCAAAAAGTTAATGTAACAAAGATTTTTTAAATAGAAATTCTCATTGCTGAGGATGGCGTGGTGCAACAGACTCTGTAATAGGCTACTGGAAGCTTCTTCAGGAAACACAATTTGTTGATGGGTGTGTGTGTGTGTGTGTGTGAAGAAATGTGTTACAAACACATCTACTTTATTCAGTAATTCCGCTTTTGGGAATCTGGCCCAAGAAAACAATCAAGAAATGAAAACAGGTTCGTATAAACAGGCATTAATCATGGCATTACTTGACTTTTTGAAAAATTAAATGTCCAACACCACCAAAGTGATTAAATAAATTATGGCATGTCCTTATGATGGAATATTTATACAATTATTATTAAAACTGATGTATGCATAGGTTTAATGCAAACATACTTTGATGTATGCAAAGTATTTTTTAATAAAAGGAAATAGTATGCTTATGACCTGGCAGTGAGTACACACTGCATATACACAGCACAGTGTCCCTCAGCATAGGCATATCACAGACAAGAGCCTGGAAGAAAATATTTTGAGACTAATAATGGTTACAATATGTGAATCTTCTGTTTTCTCCTTTATAGGTTTTTTTGTTTTCTTCCACAGTTTTAGAATTATCTTGATTTCCTTTCACTACAAGAAAATAAATACTTAAATACATTAGTAAATAGTTTCGAGTAGAGATTTTTAAGATGGTAGTTATGAGTAGCTGTGTATTCACAATAGCAATATTCCTCCCTGAGGAGTGGACTAAGAAACACAAACTCTGTTGTAAATAGCTGTAGGGCTTTGACATTGCCTTTACATTCAAAATGAGTTCATGTCATGAGGGAAGCAGGACCTTGATGCAAAGCTTGGCTTAGGAGGAGCAGAGAGCTAGGTGCCACCCTACCTGATTTCCAGCTACTCCTCTGTGAGTCCCAAGCTGCAAAACTCTGGGCAAGTCACTTATCAGCTGTAATCCGTCTGTCCCTGTTGACAGAACAGCATCGGTGACTCCTGCCTTCCTCACAGGACCACCAGGAGGCCAGTGTACACCCTTGGCGGGAGATGGCAGGGACTGTTAAGATGAGGACACTCCAGCTGTTGCAGGGTCCTCACAACAGTTTGGGAGACACCAGCCTCCAGGTCAAGTTCTGGTCTGCGTGATCCTGGGCCCGAGATCCCTGTGGAAAGTCTGAACTGCTCACATAACGCTGATCACTGGAGTCTGCAAAGCCTGTTGACATTTGAAAGCTCACCTCCAAGCCGCCAGCTGTTCTGTGAGGTGGACAAGGTGGGAGAAGTGGTGATTTTGCAGCAGACAGTGAGGCCGATACTTACAGATTGGATCTCAGGAACCCAAGTCCCCTGCGTGGCCCAGTGGGCCTTGGAGCCTGACCTGTGGCCCAGGCCCTCAGGCTCCAAGGCCAGAGCTCTTTTTACTATCCTCTGTGAGCTGGAGATGGGTTTCACTGTGTCCATTTCACAAATAGGGAAACTGAGACTCCCAGAAGGCCGGGTGATGAGCCCAACTCATATATGATCAGATCTGTAAGGTGACATATGGTTCCTAGAAATCACTATACCACACAGGGCTTATGGTAAAAATGGGGTTAGGAGCACAACACTCAAAATGTTACCAGTAACAGTAAAAATAAAAATAGAAGCCTAATAAAATGATAGCACTGTCTGACACACATTAAACCCTACAGTAATCATGGCACTTACCCTGGGAAAGATCTGAGTTTACCTGTGTACCTTGGCACAAGGAGAGTTACAGTTTCTAAGTGATTCTGCAGTGGAGGAAGGAGGCTTACCAGATATGGAGCAGAAGGTTGTCACACCAGGTGCAGATAGGTGCAGCTCCCAACCCACAGCTGAGGTAACACTGAAGGGCCACGTGTGTGTGCACATGCTTGCATGTGTGTGTGTGTTTCCTGCAGGGCTTGACTGAGCAGGATACAGTTTTCTGCATTTGCCTAGCATTTCCTGAGGACAAAATCACATATGGGTAGAAACCAAATTCACATCACGCTCAAATTATCCGCTAACATGTCGATCACACTAGAACAAATTTGTATTTTCAAAACAAGTCTCAGAGCAGAGTGGGCTGTACCCAGTGAAGTATGGGGCTGCAAGTGCAACATGCGCTTTTTTTTTCTGACCTCAAAGTGTTCTTTATGTAGGATGGTTCCATAGGCATTTCCTTCTTTTTCTTCGTCTTAGCCTGGAGTCAGGCTGGCAGTAGATAGCATCTGCTACCTGCAAAGGTGGGGTTGATGGGGAGGTCTGGGTGATGGGGCAGGAAGAATTCTGAGACTATGCCTGAACCCAGCAGAAAGAGGCCATCATGGGTCACGGTGTCCCTTGGAGACACAGATGAGAAAGTCTCGTACTCTACTCCAGATCTGCAACTTGCCAACTGCGTGGGCTTGGACAGGAGACCCAGCTTCCTTGAGGCTTGGTTTCCTCATCTGTAAAATGGGAATAAACATAGTCCAACCCTTATCAGGTGGATCTGAAGGTTAAATGAGATCAGGCATGTAGCAAGTATTCAACAAACTCTGATGACCTCGCTCCTCCTCCTTCTCTTCCTCTTCTTCTCCCTCTTCCAAATCCCCTCCTACTTCTTCTTCATAGTCATCTTTGTCACCATCAACATCATCATCATCATCATCCTGCCGCAAAAGAAAAGAAGTCCTGACCCACTGGTTCCCGAGATGCTGGCAATGGAGCCGATTCTCTGGGAGCATCAAACTCGTAGTGAATCCTCTGGGTCTGAGGCGCATTGCTTGGTCTCTTGCACCCCAGACTGCACTTACTGCAGGAAACAGGCTCCTCCTTGGGGAAAGCAGCAGGAGCAAAGCTCTTCTTGGCTTAGTGTCCCTGCGTGGCAGTTTTCCTATTGGGTCCTGTGATGTGGTTTTTCTTCCCTGGAGCACTGCATTTGTGCCCATTTCTTATGTGCACTGAATGAGCTCAACACCAATCACCTACATGTCTGAAACCAGAAGGCCAGTTCCAAGAAGGTGGGACATGTCTGGGAGGTGGTTTCAGGCATTCAAAGTACTGTCCACAGACTACAAGCATGGGCATCGCCTGGGAGCTTGTTAGGAATGCAAAATCTCAGGCTCAGCCAGAAACCCTAACCTGCATTTTAACAGGATCCTGGGGTGATTCAATGCACATTACAGTTCCAGAAGCACTGGTCTTAAGGGACACAAGAGCCACAGCCCACAAGTCTGGGCTCGGGGAGCCCAGATAGAAATGCCTATCCCTTTATATGCTGAATGCCTGTTTCTCTTGGTATGTGCTGGGGATTACATGTGCATGTCTGGACTCACGTGGGATGGTGTTAGAATCCTGACTCCAGCTGATATTCTGTGTGGCTTCAGTCAATTGGCTCCACCTCTCTGAGATTCCGTTTCTTTTTCTGTGATCTGAAATAATAATAGTTATTAATGTTTGACACAAAACATTAATGCATCCAGCACAGTTCTTAGCATGCAGTAAAACACGTAGGAAATGATATTATGACCACAATTGTTTGGGGTGAACACTGCAAGGTCCTCAACCAATATCCACTTTCTTTTTCTTCTTCACTAACAGAATCTCAATTTCACTCAGGCAGTGAATTGTTATTGAGCAACGTTCACCTGCTTAGACCTCCTTGAATCTAGAAATGACCATGTGACCATGGACACAATCCCTCAGCAGGGTTTCCCTCCTCAATAGGAAACAAAGATTTCAGAATTTCCTTTCTTTCCTATCTTCCCTCCTTTCTTCTTGGACTCTGGATGTGATGTTGAAGACAAAGTAGCCATTTTGCTCTCTTTGGGGATGAAAAGCACACTGGAAGGATGATTAAGAGAAGAGAAAGAAGGTGGCTGGGTTTCAGTAGCACTGTGGAGCCACTGTTAGGAATGCCCATCTCTGGGCTTCATGGTATAAAGCAGGTGGGAGGACTGAAGCTCAATTTAAGCGGACTTTGAGTTTCTATTACATACAGCCTAGCATAGTCCTACCTTGTGATGCCACCATCCCCACACTGTCATTAGGATAGCTATGGTTACTAACCATCTCTGGCATGCACTGGGGCTCAACCTGGGTCCTTGGTAAGCATTTGCTAATTTCAGTTGAACAGTCTGAAGGAACCTTAACCTGGGAAACAAAATCAACTGTCAAGTTCCTTTAAAAAATAAGAATTAAAAAAACCCCATAATCCAATTATCTACCAATAAAAACTGCTAAATGTATTTTGGCATGCAGCTTTTCATGTTTCTTTTTACACACACATTTAAATATACACCTACTTATAAGGATAACGTGCACTGCTAATTTTCATGTATCTCTATATTATCATCTTTTTCATGCCATTAAATTTGCTTCTACAATAAAAATAACAAATCAGATAATGAGACGAGCCTGATCCTTCACTTGCTTCAGTTTTGCCTTCCAAGAACTGTGTCTTTGCAACGCTTAGAGCAGACATCACCCCCCACCAATGCCTGAGTGAACATTTCCTGTTGAAAAGCTGTATCGGGAAAGATGTCAGAGCTGCCCGCTCACTTTTTCCGGAGAGCTTCTTACGATGCCCAGAGGTAACATAGAACAGTCACTCCTTTAACGACTTCTCTTTATTTCCTCCAAATATCGCTGTGAAAAAGTCATACCCATTTTCACAATAAATGCACACTTTTTTACATGATGAAAATGATGTAAGACTTTAATTCTAAAGTTCTGCTCCAAGACTTCAGATGCTTCTTGTCCTGCTTTGGTCCAGGGTCCTGCCCTGCATGTGTGGGAAGCCCTCTCTCCCAAAAGTGAGTGAATCAGAAATTACTCGTGAAAGTGACTCCAATACTCATAATGTGCAGATAACAGAATGAATAGCATCCTTAATATTTCTCACCTAATAAAGTAGGACAAGAAATGATTTGGAGAAGCACCTATGCCAAGTCACAGGGGCCAGGCTGTCTGGGGGGCTCCCACCCCCATCCAATCTCTACCCCACCCCTCCCCAATCCCACCCCACCCCCACTGCACCTGCCAGGGCAGCCTGTCCTTGTCCCCAGTTAATTGTTCCTGTGTCAGTAGGTGGACTCATTGCTGCTGGATTTTTCAAGAGAGATTAGAAATACACATTTTTATTTGAAATCTTCCCATCTTTAAATGTCAGCCACTTTTTAAAAATCACAAAACAAAAAACAAAACCACTATAAGGGCCACAAAATAAAACTGGTCCACAGGCAGAGGTGGGCCACAGCTTGGAATCTCCAAGTTAGCACTGCCCTCCCTGGCAGCCTGCCTTGTTAGGCAGAGGACAAGGCTTTAGAAGAGACGTTGCCAGAGGGCCATCCCATCATGGTAATAGCCTTTTTGCTTAATGTCGGTTTACCCACACCCTGTGCTTCAGGCACAAATGAGACAAATTAAGGGCATTCAGCTGGGAGCCAGGACATATTTTTTTTGTTAAGGAGCTGAGCGAGTCATTAACCGCCCAGGGCTGGTGGAAGGCGGGGGAGGCTCCAGCAAACCCAGGAGGTGCCTAGGACCCATGACCTCATTCTGTCCCAGCCCAAGTCTTCACTGCTTCATGAGAGGCTGTGACAGCGTGGCCTTCTCTAGCCCCACATGGTGACAGCAAGGCCAGGGTGGCAGGGGGAGCTTGCTGTTTCTGTTCCCCACAAGCCAAGACACCAGACCCAGGTCTGGGATGACAGAGAAAATCCCCAAGGGTAGGCCTGCACACTTCTCTGGCATGAGGCACGGTGACTAACGCCCATACTCACCTGGTGCGCAGTAAGCCCTGGCTGATACCGTGGGGCGCTCACCCTATTGGGTTCCAAGGCCTTCCTGAGTCCTCTTGCCTCCCCTCTAACCGCACAGCCTTCGGCTTATGTGAGATGATCAACTCTTCTCGGCTTGCAGGGGTCTTTCCTGGTTTTAGTACTGAAAGTCCCACATCCCCAGGAGCCCTTCATCCTGGGCACACTAGGACACTTGGTCACTCTGAATCTATGCAAAACCCAGGGAGTTGATTTTGAATCCACAATTGAGAAGTCCCATCAGGCTGCAGAAGGGCATAATTTTAAAAAATCAGGACATGGGCATTCCAGTTAAGTGAGCTTGAATACAGAATACTAAACTGGACTTTGCTTCCAAGGGTAGACAGGCAGTACTGACCACAGTGGGGCAGTCCTAGAAGCAGCTGGCCACCCTCCACTGCCACACAGTGTGGTCCCCAGGTCAGCAGTATCAGCACCACGTGGAGCCTGTTATAAAAGCAGACACTCAGGCCCAAGCCTAGACCGATTGGATCAGAATCCCCATTTTGAAAAGATGCTTGGGCGCTGCACAGCACACAGGTTGGAGAGGCACTGTCTGTGGGTGCTGCATTCTTACAGCTTAACTTGGTGAAAGGACAGAATGGGAATCCAGAGAGGTGTCGGAAACCTGAGCAGGTGTGAGAAGTCTCATTCACCTCTCTCGGTTCCTGGAGGCCAAAGCTGTTAAGCTCCCAGGATACAAGGACACAGATGAGTGTCAGCAATTCCACACTACATGTCCCCAGACTATAGGCCTTAGAGGACAAAGGACTTTGTGCATTTTTTTACCCCTTCTGCCTAGATTTTCCAGGACCTTCAACATAAAATGTATTAAATCCTGTATTAGATTGGAACGCTTTGGGCTGCAGAAACCCAGCTAACAGCGGCTTAAACAAATAGAAGTTTCTTGTTCTCACACACTGAGGAGGGAAGGTGTGGGTGCTGTGTGGCTGAAGTGCCGGCTAAGATGGAGGCTCTCCCTGCCTTCCCCTCTGGAATTCCAAGCACTTCCACTTTCTGTCCTCAGGTCGGTGGCCTTATAGCCTCAGGATGCCTGCTGCAGCTTGAAGCATCATATTGTTTTCAGGACAAAAAAGAAACAGGGGAAGCCAATGAATATAACCTTCTTTTTCAGGAGAGCAAAGTATCTCTTACAAACTGACCACCTACTTCAACTCAAGCCTCATTTCTGGTGCCACAATGCCACCAAGACCCAAGAGAGTCTGGGAAACAAGGCACTGACAAAGGGGCCAAGCAGCTGTGAGGGGCTCAGACCAATTCTGGTCCATCACCTAGAGCCAAAGAGAGCCAAGAGGGGCCAGCCAGGGCCGGGAGATGCCTCTCGTAGGCCTTCTGGTCTTTGTGTAATGGCCCTGATCTTGCTGGCTGCTCATTTACATTTCTGACCCCTTCTAGGTAAAGTCAGTGAATGCGTCTTATCTGTCTCAACATATTCCTGGTGCTAACACACCAGGCACAGAGTGTGCTCAGTGGATATCTGCTGAACGAATGAATGAATGAATGAGGATGCCCTCAGTGCCCATGAGCCAGAGCCACTCATCCTCAAATGTCTCCAGATGGTGTAATCGGCTTTATCTCATAATTGGCTTTATCTCCATAATGACTTATCTTTTCAAAGTGGAACCAGGCTTCATGTAACTGGGGCAAAGTCATAGAGAATCATCTAGCTTGAGTCAGATGTTTCAGTTCCATGGAGCCTGGCTTGGGAGTACCATGAGGAGGTGATCAGACTTACCCGCTCCCACAAGGCCCACTACATAAAATGAAGGAACAACATAAAAGCCAACCTCTGGGGTCAGGCGAAGCCGTTTGTTCTTGAGGGGAGTCGCAGGCAAGTCTGTGCTGTGTGCCTCAGAGTGCCGCAGCTAATCACGGTCCATGAAGCATGATGGGATGGAGCAAGTCAGATGATTCCGCCTGATATGTGGCATATGACAGCCGTTAAGTCGCTCGGTCTATTGGAAATAACATTTCATGGTGATCCAGGTAGGGGAATGCAGCCAGGAGCAGAGAGACTCCCCCCGTCTTGCTGGAGAACAGGAGGGGGTTGTTAGGGTGACGTCTCTCATTTCATGAGCCAAGTCAAGGCATATAAAAGCCAGGGAGGGCACAGGGTCTCCCCAGGAACTAATTTGGATGGGAAAAATAAAGATTTTATGTGCTGGCCCAGGCACTGGACTGAAAATCTTGAGAATCTAATCAGAGCCAGGTGGAGTGGAAGCAGCACAGCTGCTGGTGAGGACCCCGTGTGGGACAGGCAGGACGTGGAAGCTGCACATGTCCGTGCTAGGGACGCGTCAGGCTGAGTGATAATGGCCTTGGACCTCAGCGACAGTCGTCTTTGGGGAAGTCGCTTGCCCTCTCAGCTCCTTCTGTTTCCACATGTGCAAAATAGTTGTGGGGATGAAAGGCAAGAAGGTGGAGGCCAAGAGCCCAGCACGGTGCCCAGCACAGAGCGGTTGCCAATAAACAAATCATAATCACAGTCATTAATGGAGCCAAGTCCAACTAGGGTGCTCTGAGACCTCCCCCTCCCCCCATGGCCAGGTAGTACGATTGCCAGATTGAGCAAACAAAAATACAGGGCACTCAGTTAAAATCGGATTTCAGACAAACAATGCATCATTTTTTTTAGTATCCGCATGCCCCCTAACATTTCATGGGACTTACTGATACTAAAAGTTTATTTATTTCTTATTTGAAATTCAAATTTAACCAGGCAACCTGTATTTTTCCTGGCAACTCTACAAGGGGAGCTTAGGTGGGGCCGTAGATGAAAGAAGGGATTTCAATGTCAGTGATAGCTGAGTGGTGTGTCAAATTAACTAAAGGATCCTATATTCTGAGCACTCAAATTAACATTTCTGATTTATAAACTCCAACTCCCAAAGCTTAAAGAAAAAAAAAAAGACTCTTTTACTCAATAAGCAAACCAATGAAATGGCAGGAAACTGGATGGGAGGGTCCCATCCCCCAGCTTCAGCAGCAATTTCTTGAAGGCCTCCATGCCCTCTCATCCCATTTTGCAGAAGAGATCAAGGCTCCAGCAGGTGAAGAGAGTTGCTGGGCTAGCATGGGGCTGCAGTCCAGTTCTGTCTGACACATGAGCCTATAACCGTCACCAGGAGACCTCACTGCCTCTCACTGCTTAAAAAGGTCCCCCCAGAAGGCTACAGACCACCCCCAACTTTTGTAGAGAGGAGGAAATATTACAGAACATCAGGTGAGAGCGTGTTTCCCAGCCTTCTTGTGCCTCACCTTTTCGCTCTGTAGAATGGGAATGATGATTACTATCTTGCTAGTGTTTTGGGGTGACTTAGTAATTAAGTACATTAAGGGCCCAGATGCTAATCATGACTACACAAATGCTATTTATTAGACTTATGAAGACAGCAAGGTTTCATTGTTAAAATATCAGCCATGAAACCCATCAGATGAGATCTGCCTGGGATTCACCTCTTTACCCACCTTGGGATGTTCCTAAACCTCTCTGAGCCTTCATTTGCTCATCCATAAAATGGAACCTCATGGAGCCTCCCTCTTGCAGCTGTCGGGGGTGGAATGAAGTAGCACAGGTGAGCAGTCAAGTGCTGACTATTTGTATTTCGGCAGGCAGAGGGGATGAATGAGAGCCAGTGGCCTCTCTTGAGACCCCTGAAGCCTGGTCACATGGTGGGCCTCTCTTCTGAAACCCCCCTGCTCTGCCAACAATGGAGCTGTCACAAGCTCACATTTGCCACTGGTAGAGACTTTTCTCTCACGCTTCCCGGAGAGGCCCTTCCAAGGGCCACAGCCCTTCTCTCCTTGTTTATATGCTGAGAACAATGCAGACCTAGAAGCCAAATTTGCAGCTGGGCTTGGAGGAAAATGGTTGTCTCTCCAATAAACCCACGTGCATCATTGTTAATGACCCTGGACCACGCTGCCCACCCACAGCGCCTGCCCATTAGAGGTCAGACAGTGGCTAATGAGATTGCCATCCCTGATTAAGCCAGGAGGCAATGCTTCCTTAATTCTACACACAGCCAGGAGGCAGGGCCTCTGCCTCTCTCTCACTGGGACTTCCCTTCTCCTCTTATCAGTTCTGCCATCCATGCCTTCCTGGATCTGCCAAAACTTCAGGTTCATCAAGGGACACGATGTGTCAAGTGCATTTTCTGGATGGAGGGATTGTGTGTCTCATAGACATCTTTCCAGTTTAATAGCCATTTTTCCCAGGAGTGTCTTCAGCTGAGATTCAAGACTCATTGATGCTAGCTAGGCTAGGCAATCCCTGGGAGATAAGAAATTCAGGCCCACACTGGACGCATGGAACCGGAAGCACACTGCAGAGTGGGATGGAGTGCTGTTTGCTGTCCCTCTTCTGGACCAAATCTTGGCTTAGGGCTTCCCCTACCCTCCCTTGGCTTCCACAGCCTGTGAGATTGATATCAGCACCTTTTTTTTTTTTTGCCGAGGAAGACATCATGGCCCTGAGAAATGACCTGGTCCACACACGGTCACACGGCAAGCAAGTGGAGGGGAGGGCGTGAGGCCATCTCTCTATATGCCAAGCTTGTGTTTTTCCCACTACACTCGATTTGGTCACACTTGGCTCACACCAGTGCTTGAAGCCCACTGCCGAGCCAAGCCCCAGGACTAACGTGTGGCTTCTGTCATGCCCATGTGGCAGTTCCAGTACTGTCAAATCCCTCGAACCTGAAGCAGTTAAAACTGATGGTTTAATGACCCAGTGGTACATCCCCTTACTAATCATGGTGAGGACACCAAGGTGTTTTTATTGTTGCTCTTTGGAGTTGCAAGGTAATCTTCCCATAAGCCACACCTTTTTTTACAGTCACTAGCATTTAGTTTCCAGTCCTTTAAAGTGAAGTAACAATGAAAGTGCATTTACAAAGACATCCGAATGCAGAATCCTTCATTGTGTACTTCTTCATCTTTACGATAGTTTCTTCCCCAGCTAACTATTCAGCATAGTTTTTAGGAACTCATATTTTTCAAGTCATTCCAAAGTATTTGACTTATTTTTCATAGAAGCAACTATTCCCTTCCTTTCTCATTGTTTTTTAGTTTATATAGTAATTCAGTTGAATTTTGAAATTAAAATTACAAATATAACTGGCATAAGAAGGTATGGGAACAAATCCATTGACTTGTGAATCAAATGACTCATTGAATGGAGGCAGATGTGGGAGAGCTCACTGAGATGTAGCTGACCAGCCTGCAATGTTCAAAGCGCTGTGGGCGGCCACAGAATGTTTACAGTGGCAGGGGAGAGCACTGGTTAGTGGCTCAGTAAAGTAAAAACAGGTGAAGAGAGCTTCCATTCTAGTCTCTTGATGGTGGTCATAGCAGTGGTGACTGCAGTGATTTCTCTGTATTTAGTGTGAATGCCACATATTACCGTCCATCCTCACTACAATATCTAGAAATTACTCTATTTGCATACTAAAGATTAGCTAGTACATAAGTCACTCAATTTTACCAGGAAGCTTTTCTGAAAAATATGATCTACTACTCCAGACTCGGCCAAGTCTTCTCAGAGAAGTAACAAGCAGCCAAGAAGACTGGCTTGGAGATGCCTCCTGCTATTCTTGAAGCCTGCACACTTGCCTACTCAGGGGGAGCAGGGGAGGAAAGGAACAAGTTGCTGAGAGTTATTCCAACCATTGGCCTATGGTGGACTTGATGGTGTCACACAAGAAGGCACCTGAGAAACAGAAATGAATCTTACATTCTAGCAAATGCAAGATGTTCCCCTCTGTTTTAAGGTGAGGAAACAGACTCAGAAGTGAAGTGACTTGGTCAATGTCACATAGCCTGTAACTGGAAAAGCTGAGATTTCAACTTAGTTCTATTTAATTCCAAATCCCATGTGCTTTCTATTGAACAGCTATTGCCATTGAGCTGAGTTGGGCTGAGTTGAGTTGGTTTGAGTTGAGGTGGTTGGTTTGAGTTGCCCAGAAGAGATTGATCCAACCATCCTCATGATCAGGGACCACAGAAGCCCCAGCCCAGTTCCAACCCCTTCATGTTGAAATCCCATGCTGCAGTCCGGAAGCCTGGCAGAGGTTCCAGCCTCTGGGTTGGGTTGGGCAGAGTTGAGTTGGTGTGAGTTGCGTAGGGCTGGGTTGGATTAGGTTGCGTTTGGTTAAGTTGATTTGAAGTGGGAAAGGTTGAGTTGGCATGGGTTGCACTGGTAGCACTGAATCACACTAAGCCCTTTGCTGGGTACTCTTGGTCCCAAAAGAGAGCTAAAAAAATGTCTCTTTTATAGTCTTTCAGCAACTTGAGGGCAGAAAGGGGGATCAATGCAAAAGAAAGAGATGAGAATCATATGATTCATGGTTGAATTCTGGGTGTATTACCCAAGTAAATCATGCCCTGGGCAAACCAGCAGAGTCAAAGTCACCTTACAGAGCTGTGTGTGGGAGGGGGCCCTTCTGTCGCATTGCCCAGAAGAGATGGATCCAACCATCCTCATGATCAGGGACCACAGAAACCCCAACCCAGTTCCAACCCCTTCATGTCCAAATCCTATGCCTCAGTCCCGAAGCCTGGCAGAGGTTCCTAGAGAATGGCATCTCCTTGATCACCGGCTTGGTGCCCCATGCTGCTCGATGCCTCTCTGTCTGTAAACCCATGTCAGCTCTCTTCAGGAGGTATGGTCACCATCTTTTTACACACAGACAAACTGAGATGAAATCACTCGCTCATGTTTACACAGCTAATCATGGCCAAAAGCTGGGTGTAGATCTAGGTTTGTAGGACCTTGGGAGGTTGGGTTCTTTCCACTTCATTACAGTCTTTCAACAGGACGGAAATCAGCACGAGCCTGTCATGTCAGAGCAGCTTTAAGCAGGATGTGTGTCTTCCACGAGGGCAGCTGGAAGGACTTCCGGGTCAATGGGGGGAGTGAGGAGGTAGCATGGCCTGGGGGAGACCTTTAGAGTAAGGGAACTTCCTCCTCCACAACAGTCAGAGACAAGAAATGGTAGCAACCAGGGTGAGAGGGCACAGGGGCTGCTGGGGGTGCTCCCCTACCCTCTACCCATCTGACTCCTAAGCCTCAGTTTTTCCAATCCATTCTGTGAAAGGGAGTTTTTC